ATCTCCTCTAGATCCTCCATCTCTTCTGAGTTCTTGGTCATACCACACCCATTGCCCTTTCCCTAGCTCTGCTATTAATTTACCTCCAATTATTTTTTTATAAAAATATATCTTTATTGATTTCAGAGAGAGGAAAGGAAAGGGAGAGAGAGAGACATAAACATCAATGATGAGAGAGTCATTGATCGAGCCCACAACCTGGGCATGTGCCCTGACCAGGAATTGAACCCTGATCACCTGGATCCCAGGTCGACGCTCAACCACTGAGCCACACCCGGCTGGGCATCAATGGAGTATTAACATTCCCAACTATGACTGTGTTTTGATCTGTTTCTCCCTTTAGTTCCGTGAGTAGCTGCTTAATATATTTCAGTGCTCCCTGACTGGGTGCATATATATTAAGAAGTGTTATGTTTTCTTGATTTAGTGTCCCTTTTATCATTATATAATGTCCATCTTTGTCTCTTGTTATTGGGTGAGGATTAAAAAAAAAAAGTTGAAAACAAGAGACATAGTTTAAAATTTGGCTTAATTTGTGCCAACAGACTATATTTGAGTTAATACCTCTTCTATAAAACATCTGTCACCTTAACGCTACAGTTTTCCTCCTCCTCGTTTAACAACTTTTAAATACATGTTCTCTAATTAGCCACTCCACAAATTATCCCACCAATACAAAAATAAAAAAAGGTTTTTATAAATAAATTTCTTTTTATAAATAAATTTTACTACAAAAATTACCCTACCACTCTGCCTTTGTGGTACCCAAAGAACACCAAACCAGCAAACCCCAATAATGTTAAAATTAGATAAAAGCATTACAAGGAACATGTATTTCACCACCACAAAATACTGTGATTGAGGGGCAGGTAGGCTCTGAAGAATGGCAGAGCAATGTTTACTATGTAGACACTATGTGCTAGACCTTGTTCAAATGCTTTATACATATTAAGTCATGCAAACTTCACAGTAATGTAGGAGGTAAATACAATAATAATCCTAATGTTAGCAAATTATTTGATTTAGTGAAAGTTTAAAAGAATAATGCAACTTGCAATTGTCTCTTATTTGATTAGGATTCTAACAGTTATAGCTAACATAGGGTATACCCAGATTTAATATGTATTATTAACACTGGTTTTACTACTTGGATAGGTCTGGGAGGTACAGGAACCAAAGTTACACTATTTCACCTATCCAAGAATAAGTCTAAAAGGAATGAAATATATATAGTTTTTAATTTTGAAAAATGTCAAACCTATGTCAAAATTGAAAAGTGTACACTTGAATACCTTAGCTAGATTCACCAACTGCTAACATCTTGCCAGGCCTATTCTGTTTCTTCATTTCTTTATGATATACACACTTCTCTTTTGCCGAGATAGGGTACAATCACCCTTAAACACTTCAAAACTATTGCTCCTAAAAAAGAAACATTCTCCTATATGGTTAACCACAAAACCATTACTACATCTAAGAAAATCAACAAAAACACCACCATCCAACAGTTAATCCGTACTCAAAGTTCCTCAGTAGTCTCTACAACGTTCTTTATATAAACTCTTTACAAAAACCCAGATCTAATCACATATTTGGATGCTATGTCTCTTTAGTGTCCTCCCCAAGTGTCTGTATTTCACAACATTGAATCCTTTGGACTTCTGGATATATACAGTACATTTCTTCACGATTAGAATCTGCATTTTCAGTAAGAACACCATGGAGATCAAATTGTGTAACCCCTTCCCCTCTCCCTATAACATCACATCAGGAGACATAATGCAGAGCTATAAAAACGAAAAAAAAAAACCCCACTGAGTTGATCTGATTACATCTAGCTTTTGCACACAATAAATGGCCTTTGTCCTTCAAGTAGGACCGCTATTGGCCCAGCTCTCCTATACATTCTCCTTATAGTGTCATATTTCTAAAACATTGTTACTATAAACAATGCATTAAGGCCCCAAATAAGCTATATGTGAACATCTTTCATAGGTGGTGTTAAATGGGATAATAATCCGAATTCAACATAATATAAACCCTTCTTCATGGCATTATTATTTCCTAATCACAATGGCATTATCTCCAATTCCTTTGGAAACCTATCCTATTGGAAAAATGCTTACTTTAAATGAATGTATCTTACGTAAACTTAAAATAACATTCAATGAAATTTGATAATTGGATACATCTAGGTTGTTGTTTTTTTAAGTGACTATTCCAGGAGATGACCATTTTATTTATTGATTTTAGAGAGAGGAAAGGAGGGAGGGAGGGAAAGGGAGGAGCGAGAGTGCACAAGTGAGTGAGTGCAAGAAACATCGATTTTGTTGTTCATTTATGCATTCATTGGTTGATTGTTGTATGTGCTCTGACTGGGCCCGCAACCCTGGCATATAGAGATGATGCTCTAACCAACCAACTGAGCTACCTGGCCAGGGCCAAGAGATGACTATTTTAGACCCATTAGTCAATAATAAGGGCATTATATAAAGCCTTTAAAATAATAGGTTACAAAAGGAATACCAAACAAGATGTCTAAAAATGCATGGTTAAAAAAAGAAAAAGAAAAAAGCAAAACGTACCAACACCAACAGCACCAAACTGCTGCCCGACTAATGAACTTGGACTGAACTGACTGTATGTCGACATCCTGCCGAAAGGGCCATAGGAACCCACTGACTGGAACGAAGAAGTAGATGAGCCTAGTGAAGACTGAAGAAAAACCATGGGTTATTTTTTCAGGCTCTAAAAACACATATATAATGGAAAAAAATCTGGATATTTACATTTTTAAGAAAACTATTAAATTATAACTATTAGACACAAAAGCAATTATAATCTTATAATATGCATTTAACATCAGAACAGTTGAATAATCTTCTGATTTCACTATTTGTATATATAGCTGACCCTTGAACAACATGGGTTTGAACTCTGAAGGTCCACTTATATGCAAATTAGCCAACCTTCATAGCTTTGGTTGACTGAATCAACAAATGAGAGGGCCGACTGTGTGCTTTGTCCTATGCCATTTTATATAAAGGATTTGAGCATCTACAGATTTTGGTATCTACAGGAGGTCCTGTAATCAACCCCCTGAGCAATCTGAGGGACAACTATAGTTAAGTTTTTAGGGAGTTAAAAGTTACATGTGGCCCAGCCAGCGTGGCTCAGCGGTTGAGCACTGACCTATGATCCAGGAGATCGAGGTTCGATTCCCAGTCAGGACACATGCCCTGGTTGTGGGCTCTATCCCCAGAGAGGCTTGCGGAAGGCTGCTGATTAATGACTCTCATCATTGGTGTTTCTTTCTCTTCTTTCTTCCC